CGAATAACCATTCTTTCCGAAAGTAATACTAAGTAATATTATAAAAATAGAACACGGACGCTCGTGCTTGATGCTTGCTATTACGTTTCAGCACTCGTCCTTGTACACATACTTTATTCTGTATTCAAATGAATTTTATTGCAGAATTAGTTCTCACGCTCTTTTTTTTCTCGTAATTTTGTTATAATTTCTCGCCCTTAGGGTAAATAAAGTTCAATGAAAATTCTCCTTTATGTTTACGCTAACTGCGACGTCGTTGCGCAACATGCATCCCACGGTATTTCTCCGGAACTCTGATTCATCGTTAAAAAACTATACAATGTAGTTATGTTGAGTCTGGTTCCTTTTATTTCGTTACTGAGCTAAGCAACTGACTAGACTTAACGACGAAGTCTGCAACGTCATGAACAATGACGTAACACGTTGATGACGCACTAGAGTGACGTCACTTGTATTTGCAGCTCGTGAACTCGTAAGCACTTCTCGCAAAGTATCATTGATTAGTTCTACTAGTGTGGAACCGTAATTAACTGACGCAGCCTGTAATTCATAATTCCGCTTCGGTGTCTCTCAATTAACCCATGCAAATTACTTATCTTTATGATTGCTGTACATTCATGTGACTCTCGAAAAAGAGAAAACGTACAATGTGACCTTAATAAAACTTACGTATTAAGAACTTATAATTGACCTTAACTCGAATAAGCTACTCAAGGGTGTGAGTAGGCAATGTACAGTAAAGAAAGCCGCATTTCGTGAAAAAAGTACACAGTGATGAACAGTCAGCTTTTTATATCCGCGGAGCATCGCATAGCAAAGGCCATACGATAGAGCTACAAAAGTATGTTTGAAGCTGCGTAATCTCCGGCAGACGTTATTTGCATCAGTATGCACATGGTGATATTTTTTTCGTGGATTTCAATGACCGTAACATGCATATATATCTTCAATGGTGGCTCGGGAAAAAAGTGACGGCAGCGACTTTCTTGTTTGAGCTGCGTTGTGGCTTGCTAAACTGACTCGGTGCTTTTCATTCCCCATAACAATATTTGAATAACGTTGGGTCAGGGCATATCAGGATTTTTCAATGAGGTTCTGCGTACACAAATTAGTGTGACTGGTCATCATTAAAAAGAAGAAGTTTATCAATTTCTTCGTCCTGAGTGAAATAAAGGCGTTTGAATTAAAGAGGACAGAAGGGTTCCTGAAGATTGGCTTACAAATTTATTAGGCCATTTCCAGCAGTCTCCTCGCTCTTTCGATGCTGTTCATAGCTGGAAACGAAACTAATGATCCGCACCAGCTAGAACCAAAATATAGTAAACATATCAAGTGCAACTATAACCTCTCGATCACAGCTCACACAGCTGAACTTCGCGAACAGTTCTGCCTAAATCACGCGCTTAAAGTCCGTTTCGGTGTCGCAGCCGCGATGGCTCTGGAATATCCTACGATGCTTCTCTTTCCTTTTTTTCTTCCAATCATGTTTGCCGGTCTACCTTAAGCGGAAAATCGGGAGGTTTTGCTCATTTGAGTCAGGAGATCATTCAGGTTGTGTTAGCCAGAACCAGGATGTAAGTGGAGCTTAGTTTTAATCTCGCTTAAGTACGGGTTTTATGGCCCCCCTCCCCTTCCACCGCTGAAGAACACGTCCAACACAGCAGGCAAGCTCGGGGATTAAAGCAAGCTTATAGTTCTGGCATAGCTTATGGCCGGTGAGTCCGTGATGGGCTCTTATACAGCCAATCTCGCGCCCCAGGACTCGAGAAATTCAGAGATCTATATCAAAAGCTCCAGGAAGGCAGCGAGATATTTTCAGTAACGCGCTCGACTTGACGTGAGCTATACAAGCACGTATGCTTCAAAGCTTACTGTAAAACAAAAGAAGTTCACAGTCTCATTACGTTACGTTAAGGAGAGCACAAGCGTAATCATGTGCTTTCGCGAGGCACTCATTTAATCTCTTTTGACGTTCTCAGTTAATGGTGTTGCCAACTTCCTCGTTCGAACTTCCTGCTACTCAACCAGCATTGCTCCACTTCCGAGATCACACCGCCCTGTACCAAGTGACGGCGTCATGTCATGGCGTCAATAAATGACGTGATTGATAGTGTTTTCATTGCGTCATCAACATGGCGCCTTTGTATGGAGCCATGAATTGGCGACGTTACTTTCGAAACCATTCATGCTGACGCCTGTGTCGGTTGAAACCAGATGCCGGATTTTTCTACTCATAAGCGAGCCAAAGTTAAGCGACTTCTGTGAGAACTTCAAACTTTCTTCATCGTTATGGTCACGTGGGCGGGAAGGTTTCCGGCGCAACCTGTTGCGCAGGCAGATTGTACCGTATACTGGTTGACGGAAGGACACATCTCCAATATACCCGCCACTGCATGCCTTTAGCTTCCATAAAAACTTGATTCTGGCCCAGCTGGTGCTTACTGTTCGACTCCTTGACCGCACGCAAAAGACGATGACAAAAGAAGGCACCGAGCGTGTCGTCGTTTCTCTATTGATCCCCTTCTTTTGTGTGCGATCAAGATGCCTAGCCTTGAGCTTTCTCGTAACAAAGTGTTGCCTGCGGCCGAATGTAACTCGTCAGTCGCGATTGACAAGTTAGTCTCAATAATTCACTTCAGCATAAGTCATGCCTATTGTAGATTGCGAATTTCCGTCTAAAGTGGTCACATGAGAACACAGCCCACATGAGCGTACTGGAATGGGCGGGAGCTGTTTACTGCAAGGTGTTTACTATCTAATGTGGCGAGCACTAAGCCCGGTCGACATGCACGAAACCTGTACTGGCACACGTAGCACGCAGTCTGGGTGTTTGAGAATCTGTTCGCCGGGCTGCTTAGGTTCGCGCTTCAGTCTATACGGACAACAGCGGTACACTTTCATTTAAGTCGTGTTCCCAGGCGCAATCGTCTTGCCTTTAACAATAGAGAGGAAGTTTATTCTAATACACGGCCCAGTTCACATGCATTGTGGCGCAATATTATCCGGACTTCGTACGTTGTCACTTGACCAGAAACGAGCACACAGCAACAAAAGCGCACAGCGTTAATAAATAAGTGACTGCGCCACAGGAACTCTTAGTAGCACGCAGCAACACGCGCAGTAGTACACGCAGGAGTGACTATGTACTTAAAGAGCCAGTCAACAGGCTCCAACATTTTTAAAGACGATAGTCTTTCTTGGGGACCTCCAAAGCTAAATGTTTGGTTTGTCTGTCTGTACATTTGTGTGGTTGTCCACATTTAACGGCACCGGGTACTTGAAACGGCCGACCCCATCCGCAGCGACCACCGATGTTGCTCAAGGTTGAGCTTTTATGCTTGTGCAATTGTCAACTAAAAATCAATTATTGCGCATTCTTGGGGCACCATAACAACACGCATATATTCTGCATATGCATCTCGTACTAGAGAACGCATACATAAGTAATTTTAAGGACCGTAGCACTTATCACGCTGCGCTGACCATGCAACGCTTGCACGGAACGGGGAGTGTTTCCAACGCTTTGCTAAAACAAGATGGTGGTGGCACCTACCCGTCGCCTCGCGTTCTACAGTTCATCACTTCTGAGACAGGCGCGCACGGCCACGAGCTTTGTTTTTCAAAAGAAACTGCCAGATGGCGCTCATGACTCACGTGTGACATGGCTTGATGCGCTCGCGAGCCTCCGCTGCACGCTCGAGGCCCTCTAACGCAGCGCCTCCAGAATACCATTCAGTGGCATTCGCCAATTTTCTTGCGCAGAACATCAAATGAATGTTTTGTTGACTCATTCCACATTCAAGAATATCGTCTTTCGCCGACATTTGCAGATTACATGCAGATATGGGGCCCATTTATTTTACACCCTCCAAACAAACTCACGCATATTTCGTACGCCTGACCAACCTCCTTCCAAGCGCAGTGACGTCAACTCGGCGACGTTGACTTCGTTACTCTTTGTTGAGGCCTGGTTTAGACCAATCGACGAGCTGCGTGCCGAGTCACGTCACCAATCGCCGCGTTGACGTCACAGCACGTGGAAGGAGGTTGGGCAGGCGTACGAAGAGATGCGCAGGCTTTTCCTGCGCGTTTAGGAGCCTGTTGACCGGCCCTTTAAATGGTTGGAGCTGTTTTGCCCAGAAGTCTAGGAGAGTCCTCACCTGGCGATTTGTATCAACGAAGCCAAAAAAAGTTTTATTGATATGAAGAAGTAAAAAAGACGTAAACTTGCACTGCAGAGAAAAACCAGAAAACGACGTCAGTTCTTGCAACAGTAGTTCAAGGCACCTTTAGAGCACTTTATTTTTCTTCTTCCTACTACAGCCACGCAGATAAAATGAGGCAACCACTGACAAGTCTGATCATCCGACGTTTAGGAACCGCGTACTGGTTCCTTGTTCACCAAGCTAAACTAAGTTTTAGGTCTAAGTCCAGCTCGGTGAAAGACAAACCCGTATACGCGGTTCTGAAACGTCAGGTCATGAGACTTGGTCAGTGACCGCGTTTTACTTCCCGCCGGACCAGATGAACTTTCGTCGAACACTTGACTACGTACAGATAACAGTCAGTACACGCTTCATTCAACGTTGAAGGCTCCAAAGGCAGGACAGATTCGCCGAACAGTTAAAGCAACCCACACAGAGACAATTACTTTGTCAATGTGCGATAAGCTCAGCAGTGAGAAGGCGACTTCAGCTTAAGTCCCGTCTCAGCCTAACGGTAGTTATAGCGCGAGAACATAATGACGACAAAGAAACAAGAAGGAAACGAGCGCTAACTTCCAACTGAGTTTATTGCGCAGAGCGCAAAAACTGTCTCCTCTATGTTTCCGCGCTCTGCGCAATAAACTCAGTTGGAAGTTAGCGCTCGTGTCCTTCGAGTCCTTGTTGTCTCTTTGTCGTCGTTCTGTTCTCGCGCTATAACTATCGTCATGTCATACCAACTAGCCCAAGCTACCACACTCCCATCTTAGCATCGAGTTCAGCCTGACTGAGGCAGCGCTAATATTCAAAAATCTCAAGTAATACTAGTTAGATACAGTAGTTTCTGCGAAAGGAGGCGTAGTTTTTACTATATGCAACGACATTGTATAGACGAGCCTGATAGAGTTGCTGCGTGCAAGTGCCTGCCTGCCGAGCTCCCGTGTAGCACGTTTCATTACCGCAATAGAGTGACGAAGTTGTGTGTGTTGTTTTTTGGTGTTCGTAGCAAGGATAGGCAGCGTTGAAAGTGAAATACTGAATGCAAGAGTGTTTTCAGGGACTGTAATTGCAAGGCCGATCTTCTTCACGCCGGTTTTTTCGCTTGTCTTTCTCCATGATGACTCGGAGATCCAAGCTGCAAAGGATGCAAAATGGTTTCAGGAAATTGGAAATAGAGGTTTCGCAGGGCAAAAAAAAAAGGAAAGAGAAAGGAGTGGGGTCCGCTAAGGAGACTGAACTTTAGTAATCTCACGTGGACAGGTGGACCGCGACCACCAGGACAGACGGCGAACGCCGCTATTCGTCCGTGCACGAGCCCTGCCATTGGTTTTCGTCGCCTCGGCCAGACTCGAACGCCGCGCGCGCCCTCTGGTAGGCTTCCTTGTCGTCCCAGAGATAGGCAGCCTGCGAGTTCAGCGGGCTGTCCACGTTTGGCTCGCCGAGAAGGGACTGAATCGAGAGTAGAACCGTGCGCACGTCCAGCAGTGCCGACCACTCGTGCTGCAGGATGTCGATGCAGATGTTGCCCTGAAAGGAGAGACGCGAAAACCGTCGACGAGTTCGCCATCTATTTGAGAGACACTTGCGTCGATTACAACAATGCGGGGCAGTCGACTCCGTACGTAAAACTGAGAATCGAATACCGTTACCAAAACAAGGGCGGCACTGTTGTTCCCGCCATATTGGAGGTTCCCGCCCCTGCTGCGGAGAAAGTTCTCGCTATATAATTGTCTGCGACTTCTCAAAGCCCCCACCCCTTACACACATACACCTGACAAGCACAGAAACAACATTAGCATACACGTTGGAACAGTGAGTGGCACGACTGTTCAGCTCTGACCTGACCGATCCCTGGAACCGCTGATCGGCCAGACGACCACGTTGAACGGGAGGCTGAGGCCAGTAGGTCCCTATAGACAAAGGTTTCTCCCTCGTAAGAATCACTTATATTTCACCGAAGTTTTGAAGTTCTCTTCCCGACCTGGTGTGTTGTACATACGATCATAAGTAGGCAATCTAAACGAGCGCAAAACTGGCGGGGGAGTGTGTACTCAATTTTATTGTGGCAGTGAATATAAAGCATCCGCCGCATTTCACGCAGGGTGCGCTGACGTGAGGCTGGCCCACTGTCTCAGTTCGCACACTTAGCGGACGCACCCCTTGACTTCACTCTTTATCCAAATGTGGGCTCTTAACGAGGACAAAACAAAGGAGACACAAGGACCAGCGCTTAATGCGCCAACTAACGAAGACAAAACCAAGAAGACAGGAGGATCAGGGCAAGTCCTTTTGTCTTCGTTCGGTGAGCACATTTAGACGAAGAATGAATTCAAACCAACTAGCGGCCCTTCCTGTGTTACGACAAAGTGCCGTTTCACGGCGTTCACGCTTCGCTTATCACTGCCTGCTCTCCAGTTGAAAGATTTGTTGTCATTCATTCGTGCGACTTAGATGGTCAAAAGTGTACTGTTCAGTACGCCTTTGTTCAGCACGTTTTAACGTAGCTTATTGCAGTACGGGACACATGGTGGGTTGCTGTCTGGCGGCAGGTGATCGAACTTGTAGATGCAAAAGACCAGGCGCCAATGTGCTCTCCTTGCAACGAAAAGGCACGGAAACCTTTGCTATACTTTACGCACCAGATTCGCTTTTATCACTGTTAATGCCCCTCTTCGGATCAGCAATGGCTGGCGCCCTCGAACTGTGGCCGGCGTGGCTGAGAACTGAACCCGCGTGTTGGAACTTGGCAGCGCGGCACCTTATGCCTGCTAATGACGAAAATAGTACAATAAAAAATAAAGTCATTTCGCACTAATGTACCAAGCGTGGCCTGAAGTAAGTGCGCAGCTGGGCAGCCTTCTTCGTTTCTATTTGGGAATATATTTTTCTTTCCCACTATTTCTTTTCTTCAAGGCGCTTCGACATTTTTTGCATCCCCATATCGAATATGTTTTTATTTTCTGTCTTCTTTTTTTGTCTTTTTTATTTCTCGCTCACTTCCTCTTTTTTTTTCCATTTTCATAGGTGGTTGCGCCTACATGACGCCAAGCGATGGCAGCATACGACAATTCGGGCCTCCAGCCCTCCGCATCTATCATCATGAAGGCGCTCGAACAACTACAGACACCGCACACTGACCAGAGGAAGCTGCGTTGCTCACGCTGCCTCGTCTCAAAACTTTTGACGTTCGCCGTTAGGGGCACGCAGAAAATAGACGCGTGCGCGCGTCCCCCCCGTATGCCAGCCACAATCACCCGACAGATGCAGGGCGCACGCGTCGCGTTCCATTTTTTATCGACGCCCCCGTCTCAAGGTTGCTTTTTTTTTTTATCCGCTAGGCTATGTATACAGGCGCTGCAGTCAGACTGCAAAACTCGACAGAACGGTGCCTACGGACAAGATACAGATGACTAAGCTATACGTGGTTTCGCCAGCGTTACGTCAAGCTGACGACAGAATGCGTCAGCCCGTGCCCCTAATGTTCTCCGCGTTTATCAGTTGCAGCCTCCCGTATCGTAACCACGATATGATTACGAGAGACGCCGTAGCAGAGCGCATTCGCCCACTTGGAGTTCTTTAACGCTCACCAAAATCGGTGTACGGGCCTCGGGTATTTGGCCGCCACCGAGACACGGCCGCGTCGAGTACTGTTAGCCTCCGACCATCCCTGACCCCAAGTTCACACTGAATAATCCGCTTTCTACAGCGAGCGGAATTCTCCTGCCACCGAAACGCAGCGTTGTTCGCACTGGACGCGCCCCGCGCCGCCGAATATGCCATCTACCACGGGGCGAACGGATGCGCTGTCACCCCGTTGTTGTCGCGGCTCGCGAATGCCACTGCACTATCCGGTGGTCTGGACTTCGACAATTCTCGTACGGAGTAAGCAAGATGAAGCACTATTGCTTACTTTGCTGGCAAATCGCTGGCTTGTAAGAATGCATGAAGAGCAGAAAAAACCACCAACGCCCGCGGCGTTGGAGGGTTGATCTTGCTCTGCAAGACCGCTGACGAGTTCGGTCTAGCCAACGACAAGCTCAATCACCTCTTCCACAAAATAGGAACGTCAAGTAGGCACACAGCGAGTTAAACTCTTATTGGTTACAACGTTCAGTTACGTGCACTGCGACTTGACAAGAGAGTAGGCTTGTCCGCCAGTTTTCGAAATTTCTTGACTAGCACGGCTATTGGTCCGCGGCGACCAATTCGGTAGGCAGGACGCCGCAACAATCGGTCCGAGAGCGATCGGCGCTGGAGAGGCCCTTTTCGGTGGATCTCGCCGCCGCCTAATCGGATTCGGCGCACTTTCGGCGGCCGGAATGGTCCGTCTGAACGCGCCCTCACAAAAATGTAATGAAACGCGTATGAAATGCCGTCGCCCGGCAACGAACCCATCGTGCTATTATAGACGCGACGCCTCACACTCGTTAAGCTGTCACAGGTGGGTAAGGCGTATCGACGCGCGTCAGAACGCTCCTTAATGAACTGCATACCTCCCGGTCCACGTTTGGGTGAAAGCAGCGCGTCTCGAAGCACACCAGGGGACTCTGTACGGATAGTCGTCGGGAAACACCAGCTTCAACCGGTAGACGGACTTCTCGAACACCGTTCCGGCTGGACCCTCGATCGTTGCCCTCCAGAGGAAGATGTTCTCCCCCTCGGGAAAGGCCGAATATGCCCCGGTCGCCCGACGTCATGAGCGCCATCAACTCCTGCTGAAGCCTCTTGGTGGACGAACGGCGCACGGACGTCTCGGCACCACTGTCCAGACGGCTGCCACGCGGACTGCTTTCCTCGAGGGCGGGCGTCGACTGTTCCAAGTTCTGCGAGCCCATAGCGAGGGGCGAACGATGGCGTTCAAGAAATGACCGTTGGTGGCCGATGACGATGCTGATGATGGCGCTAACATACAAAGCCGGATAGGCTAACAATAACAGGGGGGTAAGATGTCTAAGGTTAAAACTTACGAAGATATAAAAAAGAAGGGGGGGGGGGGGCTGGAAAGTTATACGCTTGGGAAAATTCGGGTGATTGTCGGGCGAAGCGCGTTCGCGCACTGATTAGAGCAGGCGTCGCCACTAGGTGGCGATGGCAGTAAGATTTGTAGTTTCATCTAGGGACCTTAGATTTGTAACGATGCGAGAAGGAAGGATAAAAAAAGGAAAAATACGAAGTGCGATAACTCAATAAGAAAGAATTTTAGGATGACGTCTTTATCTACTTTGTTAGCGTTTGTAGAAGGGAACAAGGGAACGCGTCGTGACCACTCTGCGGCGCTTAGCTGCAGCTCCTTCAGCCGGCTGCTAAAGAAGGCACACCCGCTTTTGGCAGTCAGTTAATTTGTTAAAACCAAATTGCGAGTCATGGGCGGTGGACAATCACTCTTTGATTACGCTGCCTCTCCGCTTCGTGCTTGTGCACCACCCTCGATTTGTTGGCAGTGGGCGACGCGCTGTAGCAAAGCTGTTGGCTACAGGCATCGCCTGTCGCACGAGCGGAGAGGCTTACAGCGTAATCCAACAGCGCTTGTCCACCGGTCATGACTCGTTACAGGTCACGAATTTCCAAGCACTTCCATTTCCTCTATTTCAGGTGGGCTGCCACTCACGAGCTCCAAAAGGTACCGTCTGTCTCATCTGCGTCTCATCTATACTGGGCGACAGCTTTTCTTGACAGCACTGTGGAAGCTATAGAGCCGAACCGCCTGCATGCGCGCGCGCCAGGAAATAGTACCTATTTTATTTTCTGATTCTAATAGCTACTTGGCCCGAATAAATAAAACTTTCTTCATTAGAAGAATAGAACAAGTATGGGACACTGTTCATGGAAAGGAAGTTATTGTGCGCCCTAGTTTTTTTTTCTTTTTTTATTTCTTGGACTGCACCACGTTTTCCGCCCGCCGGCTGCGTCTGCTGCTTGCTCTTGCAGCGGCGAGCACAGCATCGGCCGTGGAAAAGCTGCTCATCGTTGGGACGCGCCGTCTTTTATACATCACGCATCGAACTTTCCAGCCTTGTCACTGGTGGCCGCGCAAGCTCTGAAATCAGCTTCACTGTTCGCCTCTTGCGCGCAATCTTAACAACGATCTACAACAATTGTGAGGCTTCTCGAACACTGAGGCGCAGTCTGCGCCGATCATTGCTGACAGCCTTTGAGGGCGTAAACCGAATACAGCAAACTGAAACAAGACAGGCCACTGGCCGGATCGTGCCGCAACCGGCCTTCCATTTCGCCTGTACCAGGGCTCAATACCGTAAACGTTAACATTCGATCACGTGTGGCGCGTACCCGTATGTACTGCGCTGAACACGGAACCTAAACTTCACTGTTATGAAGGCTCAATAATGCTGGGAAAACGTTCTGAACAACGGAAAATTTTGATTGATTGATTGATTGATTGATTGATTGATTTGTGGGGTTTAACGTCCCAAAACCACCATATGATTATGAGAGACGCCGTAGTGGAGGGCTCCGGAAATTTTGACCACCTGGGGTTCTTTAACGTGCACCCAAATCTGAGCACACGGGCCTACAACATTTCCGCCTCCATCGGAAATGCAGCCGCCGCAGCCGGGATTTGATTCCGCGACCTGCGGGTCAGCAGCCGAGTACCTTAGTGTGATGTGTGGTGCGCGTTCAAAGTGCGCGCCTTCGAAAAGTGCGCGTCACGGAAAAAAAAAAAAAAAAAACAAAAGGAGAAATACCAGAGTGCACGTGCGGGGCTGCTTAAACAAGAATGACGACGTTAAAGAGCGTCGAGCACGAGGATGCGTGGCAGGACGTGAAGTAAACAAAAGGTAAAACATCCAATGGGCAGCGAACACGGAGATTTCAAGGCCCAATGGCTTGACACCACGAGACAGCAGTATCTCCAATGAGAACGAGACAAGTGGGCCAGAGCTGAAGAAGGAGCCTGAGCAGACCAGAGCAAGGGGAATTCGAGGCAGGCAGTGCAAGCGGAAGGTCGTCACCGGACCGGGCGCTGAAGATGGGCCGTCGGGCGTAGGACCCGAGCCTGCAGGTCTTCAACCGGCCGGGGCCTCCTGCCGTCGTGTTCCCGCTCCAAAGGACCGTGGCCATCCGGTCCTGAACTCCTTTCCAGGGCCTGCGGACTTTGGTTCCGGCAGGCGAGCTACAGCCGTCGGGCTCCGGGCCCGAGCTGTGCGCCCAGCTGCTTGACTAGGTCGACCCTGGTTCTCTGACGCGTCACCACCAGCCTGCGTTCTCCCGTCTCCGACGTGTCCACGCTCCTCAAGCCGAAACCATCACGATTTGGTAGGGCTTTTCGACGTGTCGCCAGCAGCCAGCGTTCCCTCGTCCTCGTCCAGCCCACGCATTGACGCAGGAGTCACGGCGTTCCGGTTTCTCATCACCGCCGAAAACCAACTTGTGGGTGAGACTGCACCGATACTCTTGCGCTACTCCCATCACTCAGCCCCTTTCGAACGTTAGGTTTAGTTACTGACTTTGAACGTTCTTGTTGGGTGTTTACAGATGTGTTTCGTCATGTCCAGTCAACTGTTTATTAAGTGTTTTGTTTTGTGAGGAATCTTTGCCTTTTTGCTTTTCAATTAAACTTTTTGTGTGTTTCTTGGAAACCGAACGGCTTTGTCCTTATTAGAAAAACTCTCTGAGGCTCAGCCCGGGAGAAAAACAAATCAGCAACAAGAACCCTGCATCACAAATTGGCGTCCGCTGCGACAGGACAAAGTCGTTTGTTTTTCCAGTAGATTTTTTTGACGCGGTTAACACGATGACGAACACGTGGGAGTTAATTGAGTTGGCGGATAAAATGGGACTGACGGGAGCGGAGTTTAGAGTATGGTACGAGGAGCGGATGGAGAGGGAGCGTGAGCAACGGGCTGCGATATGTGACGCTAAAAAGCAGCAGATTGCATTGCAAACACACGCTAAGAGAGAGGAGTTCGAGCGAGAAACACGGGCTAGGAGAGAGAAGCTCGAGCGAGAGACACGCGCTAAGAAGGAGCAGCTTGAGCTAGAAATGCGTGAAAAGAAAGGCTGCTCGAGATAGAGATGCGCGAAAAGAAGAGACTGTTGGAACTAGAATATGAGGATTTGCAGCAGTGGCTTGAGAGGGAAAACGCTGAATATACGTGGTCTGAGAGCCAGAGTAGTCAACCAGTGGATGAGGTGTGCTCTGAAAGCAGTTACATCGGGAGCGATTTGAATTTACGTGAGACTGACCCTGTACCTCGTCATGACCTTTCGCTAGAGAAAGAAACTCTGAAAGAGTATGACAGGGAGGTAAACAGTCAAAAGACTAGGAGACTCGATAAGCTTATTGAAGCGCAGGAATGCTTCGTGAGCATGGAACAAGAACGTTCCATTCAGAGTAAAGGGTATTTTGAAACCTGTGAGAGGTCAAGCGCACTTTATTCAGAGGTAGGATTGCCTCTGAATAGCTCCGCTGAAGGAGCAATAAAAGGTCTCCTAGGTAATGCCGGCGAATGCCATAATGAAAGCTCTGATGTAGCAGCTACCTATTGTTTTGGGCCACTGGAGATAGCAACAGACGCTACGGACATGGTTTTTCACCATGATTATAACTTGCCCATACAGAGAGATGGCTTGTGTTCTCGGGAAATTGTAGATGATGCTTTTAGAAGAATATTGGAGCAAAATGCAAAAGCACTTGTTGAAGAACAGAGAGTAGAGTTGCAATGTAGGTCAGCTATATGTGACAATGAGGGTAATCACGATGACCCAGGCAGAAGGGTTGAAAGTATTGATGAACGAGCAATACAGAAAGCTGAAGGGATGGAAAGTGAACCAGAAGGCAGTAATGGTCCAGCAGGTTATTGTACGAGGAAGGACGCCGACTGGTGCTCTTTGGCATCTTCGGTTGAAGAGGTCGCTTCTGTTAAGATGTCTCAACGATTAGCGGCTTACGAGCTCAAGCAAGGCGTTCGTGGGAAGGATGAAATGATTCAGGCGTGGTTGTACTGGTGCGCCTGGAGGCAACGCCTCCGACTGGCATACAGACATTCCAGCGTGTATGCTTGTGATTTCGAGGTTGGGAACCTGGTGATACACAGCTTTAGGTTCATACGAGCTTACGGTCGAGAATTCTTCCACTGGCTTCCGATTCCTTACTCTTGTCAAATGGTTAGAGCAGTTAAACGTCTTGTATGGGACGCTATAACTTAAGCGTCAAATTCGATTTCCCGCTGGTTTCTTTTGGATCTTGCTTGCGGACCATGGAAGGGTGTTGCTTGTAAATATTTGAAGAAGTTACATGCAATGTAACATTAACATGATGTATAGTTTTTGAGATGATAGGGTATATATGATAAAAAAAAGGGGTGGTGTACTACTAATTTGGGGATTTTCACAATCCGCTAGATGTGTCCATACTTTTTCTCACTTCTTGCGTATTTTGAGGTTAGTGAATGTGGACCTTTGGGCAATGCAGTGAACTGTGTGGCGGACATATGTGGGTAAATTGTGGTGCAGTGCGAAACGTGTACTCAACGGCAGTTTTTTTTTTCTTCTCGAAAAAAAAAAAAAACTTTTCTTATTGTTGTTGGTTGAATGTTACGTTCTGTGGACTCGGTGTTTCGACGTGAGACATGTCAACGAAGAAGCAGTGTGGTGCCATCGGTGTGATGTGTTGAACTGCGTGGTGCAAATATGTGGTGTAATTGTGACGTAGTGCAGAACGCGCACTCATCGGCAGTTTTTTTTTCTAAAAAAAAAACTTGAATGAAAGGGGGGCGTATGTGATGTGTGGTGCGCGTTCAAAGTGCGCGCCTTCGAAAAGTGCGCGTCACGGAAAAAAAAAAAAAAACAAAAGGAGAAATACCAGAGTGCACGTGCGGGGCTGCTTAAACAAGAATGACGACGTTAAA